TGGAATTCCTCAGTCTGAATCAGTCACAGTATTAAATCAATTTCTTTAAAAGCTTTCCTGTGTTTCTTACTTTCATCTGATGTTCTGATGATGGAAAGAGAGCTAGGTTCATGACTGAAATAGATATTTTTCTCTTCAGTACCACATCCAGAATGGCTTTTGGTTCCATGCATCCTTCTCTCTAGTGGGTCTGGAGGGCTCTTCCCTTGTTGGTACAGTGTATGGGTATCAGCCTAATCATCCTGTTACCAAGGTTAAGAATGAAGCTTTGCCACCATTGCTACTGGTACATGGTCACCTTCACCTTTACCTGAGCCTTATTGTCTCTGTCACTGTGTCTGATGGCTCTTGCTGTTCCATTTCTCAACTATCCAATTTCCATATTAGCTGCTTGGTGTCAATTGCTATTTTGCTCTTTCCAGATTAGCTTTGGAGGCTATTCAGCAGAGCAGTGTAAAGAAATGTGGGGGAAGATTCAGAAGAGACTGCGAAGATTCCGGTTATTGCGGGAAGTGCTCGAAGATGCAAAAACCTGGGTTTCTAAACCATGGACTAACTTCTATCGCAGTCAGAAACAGGTAGAGAATTGTTGTCGAGCATTATTATTTTAAGAAAAAAATTACTTTCTTTTAAAACTAATAAATTGTAATTCTCAGATATGTGTTTGTGTCTGTCCATCATACATTTTGAAGCACTTGCAGGTGCATTAAAGATTATGCTTGCTATAAAGGACAGTTAAAGATGAACTGTAATTTATAATAATCTAATATTACTTTAATGTGCTTGAAACAATGTATAAGTGTCTTGAACATATTGAAGTCTCTGGTCTTTCCCAGAACCGACACCCTGATCTGCCTAGACGACCTCTCTCAACATACATGCTCTTCTATATGGAGAAGAAAGACAGGGTTGCTAGAGAGAATCCTGGATTGGAGATGGTGAGTACTAATGATGGTCAGATTGCTGACATTTTTCAGGCTGTTTTATTTGCTAGTTTTATTACTATCAGCTGAATTCTAAAAGTTGAGATTTTTCCATGAGTTTTTAGTTTCATGAAATATAATTAGTTTCAGTCCACAATACATTATATAATTCATGAGTCATACTTTTTTCCACAGACTTTTAGTTTTATAATTAGCGTGGCTACCATTATTGTTTATTTATTTTATAATGCGTAACTATGTAGGTTACTTAGTGTGAATGCAGGATTTTTATAAATAATAACATGGAGGCAACCAGTCTGTGTCCTATTTTTAGGGCCTTTTGCAATATTTTCATGGAGGACTGAAGAAAATGATGACAAACTTCAAAAAGATGGCTGCCTTTTGGGCTGTTGCGCCATTTAGTCTGGTAGAAGTTTACAAGCATTTCAGAGGTCCTTACTGCCTGCATCATCAAGGTATCATCACCCTGATGATCGACTTCTAAAGTTATTGGTAAACTTCTACCAGTCTACATGGTGCTATAATCCAGAAGATAACCATCTCGGACTCACCGCCATGAAAACCAAATCAAACATGTTTCTGTGTTTTATGTTGACTACAACAAGTAGGCATATGTAAGTGGTTGACTTCATTTTGTTTTTATCATAACTAGGTAATTCAAAATGTACACAATCTCAAGACTCACTTCACTCAATAGCCAGATATCATGAGACCAAAAGCAAGTTGGTGTAATATGCGGTGGTCAAAGTAAACTTATATATAATACAGTTTTGCACACAAATATGTGTACATACTTATCTAAGGTTTGAATGTTTACATGAAGAGGCAGGAGTGTAAAACTTCTTTCAGACAGGTGTTTCAAAGTGCATAGCTGAGATGTACAAGAACCTGGCAGCCAAGAAGAAGCAGAAGTATGTTGACATGGCAGCTGCTCAGAGAAGAGAGTATGAACAGAAATTAGAAGAATTCTAGTAAGTTTGAAAATTTGCACATTAAAAATGTTTCTTTTTTGAGTGTGTTGGCTGTTGATGACATGGATTTTATGCCTTTGCAGCCGGGAACATCCAAATCTAATTCCAAAGCCAGTGCCTTCCAAGGAACATAAGCCAGGAACAGCAGTTGATATGGGACCACGGAAACCTACAACACCTTTCAAGGTACAACTGTTTGCACCTGTATAATTTTGGTGTTGGAAGTTGCAACAGCTTGAAATCGCCCCATTTTTACATCCAAGACCTTCATGATGGAAACAGCAAATTTGATTTCCTAGACTTGTTTCTTCTCTTATCTGTTTATGTCTCCTCAGACCACTCTCCTTGCCAGCTTATGATAGATACTTTGTGGATGTAATATTTTCACCTAAAAAATGTGCATGTAAACAAGCAATACAAAAATAAATTGTTATTGTTGACTTTTTGTTGAACAGAATCTTTGTTCACAACTTTACAACTCACTCCCCAAAGGAGATGTAAGATTATTTATAACATTTTTGTCATATAGCTGTTCTATGCAGACAAGGAAAATAGACATAAGAACGATCCAGACTTTGATCGGACAGAGCTGCTTGAGAGATGTAAGGAACAGTGGCGAAACATGAGTGACAAGAAGAAGGTTGTTTGGATTAACTGGGCACTTGAAGAGGAGACCAAGTACCAGGTAATTGAGAATCATTCATTAATATCAGTTTTGTATGGCATCACTAAGATTATGTATGTAACCCTTCTGCCTTTTTTCCAGACTTGCATGAAATATGCAGAAACAATCCTATTAACAAACAAACATTGCAAGAACCCTGCTGGGGGTCATATCTGATGCCCTTTTATTAAAATATGAAAAGTTTAAACAATGTGTTAATTACATGCATGCACATAGGACACCTCAAATAAGGCCACACTTTTCCAAAAATTAAAAAGTAGTATCTTAACATTGAGGTCAAGAAAGACCCAAGTAGCAGTTTTAAGGTGCCTTGATTTTATTTAAACATTTTATTCTGTCAGAAGATGCTTAAACAGCATTAAATAATTTTCTGCATGCCAACCATGATTTTGCCACTCATCATGAATGAGGAGAATTGTTGAGTAGCTTATTGAACATCCCTTCTCAAGAATGATCTTGGTTAGATTTTAGGTGTGAATGTTGACGCATGAATACATAGTTGAAGCAGATGAGGTTGTTCCGATGTAAGTGAATGATTGATCGGTTACAGGAGGAGCTGAAGGTATACATGTCTGAGAATCCCAACTTTGTTCCCACAAATGTGAAGGCTGTTCTGACCAAGGAAGAAAAGAATCTCAAAGAGAGGTAAGGAGTTAATTTGGTGTTTTTACTTGCTTGAAAGTGGCATGTTAATTAATCATTAAGATGTGGAAGCAGGTGCTTATGTTCTGTTTAGGGTAACTGTTTGGTCATGTAGATGATTGTCATTGAACCCCTGAAGGTACCACAGAACACAATTCAGGAATCTGAAACATTGAAACCTCTGTTTATATCCCAAGTAGAAGAACAATAAACTTGTTGCAGGGTGGCAGGCAAACCTGAAAAGCCCCCTAATTCTGGGTACAGCTTGTTCTCGCGTATCATGTTGGTGAGTCCAGAAATAAAGCAAGTGGCTGCAAAGGAACGTATGAGCCAAATCTCAAAGCTATGGAAATCTATGACAGAGACTGAGAAGAAGAAGTACCAAGAACAAGTAAACCATGTAAGTTAGTGCTGCAGTTTGTACAGCAGGCTATCTTGGTCTTATTTTCAGACAGTTAAGTGACTGGTTTGTGAAATACAACAAATTTAGTCACTGGCTACTCACCCATGATCTTACAATAATCCTTTATACAAATATTATTATAGTCATCATTCAGTCACTGATAACTCACTATGGTAAATAGTCTGGCATAATTTTAGAGCTGTGACAAGGTATAGTAACCCTTTGAGGCCGAAGGTTGTCTAAATAATACTTAATAGTTCAGTCCATGCCACAAAGAAAACATCACCCTTCACCATTAGAAAGATCAGCTTACAAATGCTGTTATGCTATGTTAATGGTTTTTTGGCAGATGCTGGATCAGTATAAATTGGAGTATGCAACATACCTAGAGTCACTTCCTGAAGATAAGCGACAAGAAGAGCTGCAAAACAATCAACCCAAACGGAAATCTAATACAGTCAAGCCAATTCCATACAGACCTGTCAGCAAGAATGTTAAGCCATTGATGTCACCTTTTGTAAGGAACCCTTTGTACAGCTTGACCTTAATTTAAATGTAATAAAACTTCTGTTTAAGTTACTCATGTTTACTGACATGACAACATAGGTCCAAGTGGTCTCAGGTTAATGCACTGAGTTCTCACTTGAATAATCTGCTTTGAGACAACCTGAGTCAACTTCCTTTTCCAGTCCCTCACCTCTGCAGAAGTCAGAACCTTGCTTGTGAGTGTTTTATAGGAATGTCTGGTTAGAAAGTAAGTGACTGTTTTCCCTTATATGTTTGCTGTATCCATCTGATCTAGCACTATATGAATTTTAATGTTTACAAAATTTAAGTTTGTTCCCAAGAGAAAGACATTGATGATGTCTTTGCAAGCCATAAAAGTTCTTACTACACTTGTGCACCCAAAACTCAGGATGCTTCCAGAAGTTGTAGAATACATAACTGGACTTGGTGTGCTGCTGCCTTACAGTTAGCTGTTATTATCATCACTACCATCATCATTATTATTTAATAATTAAAATGCACACAGAAATGAAACATATTTCTGTTGACAGGAGGGTGCAAAGAAGAAAGTAAAGGAAGTGTCTGAAGAAAAGCCTTTGTATAAAGGAGAACCAGAACCTCCACCTGTGTAAGTAATAATAAACAGTCATTGTGTGATGCAGAAATTAATACTGCAGTGTATTACAGATGACATGTTTGTGCTGGGTAGTGAAGTACTGACTAAGACGTTTATGTTTTGAAAATCAAACTGAATATTTAAGAGAGGAGAAGTTTTGTGGAAGTTCATAAGGTGATTCTGAGTATGTTCATAGTAAGTACTACATATTGTGATGTTTGTTGGTGATCATG